GGGATCTGAACTGGGGCCCTCTGGCGTCCCAAGCCAGTTCTTAACCATCATGCCACTCGGCCGGCCCTCTTTATGGATTTTTAAGTACATCTGTATTTTCTTTAAAACTTTTAAAATGAATAGCTCAATAGTAATAAAATGGACGAAATAGCAGCAGGCCATACACAGCACATGAAAGCGTCTGATAAACACTTGCAAAAGTATACTATCTCACTAGGAATCAGAGAAATGAAAACAAGAACATTGCTTCTTCAAGCTGAGATATTGCCAAATTTAAGTTGACGTTCCTGTTTTTCCTACCTTCACCAGCCGACTGCCACCATTTCACAACCATCAGACGGGCAACTTGCTTTCCACACAGGCGGCTGCCATGTGTGCTCTTCCAGCAGGGACCCTCTGACCCCATGTGTTAGAGATTATTAGGGGTCAATATGCTTTCTTCACACACACAGGAGACTGCAGAGCCCCTCTGGAGGGCTGTGAGCTCCTCTGCGCAATGGGTGGGTTGTGAGTGGAAGCCCACCAGTTATACAAGATCCTCTCCTTTCTTCCCATTACCGTGATGGAGGAGCCCAAGTGGTTCAGTTGGTACAGCTACAAGATAAGACATCCCCCTTCCCTGTCAGACTGGGGACGTGCAGTGTGAACGAGAAATAAACACTTGTTTGGCTGACCAACTACAGTTGCAAAATATCCTCAAAAAAGGCCCATGTGCAACAATTTTTTCTAAGGTATAGGCTTACCAATAGAACTGCTGGCCACTAATATGGAATCAGGCGCAGAACAGGCATTCCTGAAACACGAGTGAGGTTTCAGAGGCACAGAAATAAAATCCAGTTCTTCCCACCCAGAAGCTCAGGCAGTAAGCTTATAGTTACAATACACTGTTTCCCTTGTCCTGTGCTGCCCAATATGGCAGCCAGCAGGCACCGATGGGTAATGAACACTTGAACTGTGGCTGCATGACTGGAGAACTGAAATTTTCATTTAAATACAAAAACTGCAGCAGTCTGAAGTCTTTCCATTAAACAGAACTTATTTTGGAAGGAGCACATCTCATTGTAAGCGACAATTGAGCATCAAAATAGAAACATGCTGTAAGTTGAAAATATACACCAGATTTCTGAACTTTATTTAAAAAGTTTAATATGTGTGTATACACAAAATCTTTCAGTAAACTTGGATTGAAAATGTTTAACATTTTACATGTCTTGGGTCACAAATATTTAATTTCACCCGCTCTTTTCAATGTGGCTACTGGAAAGTTAAGATCACATATAAGGCTCGCAGCATCTGCTCTAGAGGAAGTCCAAATTCCTCAGCATGGTATCCCATCCCAGCTCTTCTGATTGAGTTGGAACCTTAAGAAGACAAGTCATGCTGAGTGTGAGCTGTGACAGCCAGAGAGCAAAGAGAGCATCACAGATACGAGGGGGTGGCAGGGTGCTTCCTGTCAAAACAGTGGCCTATACTTCCCTCACCTGAATTGGATGTTGCTGGTCGTTCTGAGCTTAAGTTTTCTTAATAATACAATGTGGATTAGTGACTGCCACTTCCTCACTTTATGGTCTTGAAGTCAGCTTCTGCCCAAGTCCCCTTCCGTTCATACTGTAGCCACGCCTGGTAACCCCTGCCTACGACAAAGCTCTCTCCTCTAAATGACCAAAGGTGACAACTGATTAGACTTGACCTGTAGGATTAGAGGATAATACCTCATTGCAACTTAGATAACCAGCCAAACTGCTGAAGTTAAGCAACTCCCATCTCCTTTTCCTCAGGTTCTGTCAAGGTTCAGCTCAAGAGTCTTCCCTTTGAATACTTCGGTGCTGGGAATGAGATGAAGGAATTATGCCCCCTCCAAATATCCCCACTTCCTCCCAAATATGTGTGGGATCAATTAAATTTGGAAAGATGCCATCAACAGTGTAGCTAGTCACGTGGTCCAGGAGGCTCAATTTCTCGGGCACTCCCACCCAGGCCCCTGTCCTGGCTGAGAGGTGACATGTGGAGAGCCAATTAAGTGCCCCACACACTCCCTGAGGAGGCCACTGACCATGTATGAAAATGGACACTGCTGCCCAAAGCAGCACCTCTTGTGGGTTTCAGCAAGTCTCCTGGCCTCATTTCAGGGTATGCGAGGTTAAACAGCAGTGCATCTAACTCAGATTACACCTTGGTGGAATTCTAAGCATCCGTGCTGTATCCCATGATGCTCCTTGGCATTATGTGGTTCATACAAGACCAGCTGCTTAACATTTGAAATGAAAGGGCAGAGAAAATTTTAGTTGCTCTAACAGAATTTACTCCAACTGCTATATCTAGCTACAGGCGTGTTTCAAGAACAAAGCAGCAGACACACAAACTGTTAACACAGGACTTATAATAATGCTTAAAACATGTTATGCGGTGTTTTATTTTTTGCTCACGTTGACTGACAGATTCAAAAATTAATCCAAAGGCCAAGCAGCATCACACCTTCATTTGCTGGGATGGCTTCTATGGTATGTCCTAGAGAAAGCGGCAGCTTCTGAGGGTTAACACACTGTGTTCAGTTTAGTTCAACAGACAGCACTTGACCCATAACAGGGGCTCACAAAATTGTTTGGGGCTGGGGATAAAAATGTGAGTAAAATATAATCGATTAGCATATACTTCGAGTTAATTTTTTTTTTTAAGTTTTCACTGTCATATCATAAATATAACAAGATCATCTGACTTCTGATCCCCCAAAGAAAATCTACTTTAAAAAGTGTAAAATGATTTTACTAGTAAGTACTATTAATAAAATTTGAGTAGGGGTCCTTCAAAATCAAGGTGAGGAAGCATACAAACACCCAACACAGTCCTGCTGTCTCAATTTTGTCAGAAATGACATACTCATTTCACGACACTTACCTACCCGTTAACAAGCTATTCCTAAAGTTCTTTACGTAGGGAAGGAAGACAGCCAATTTTTGTTTTCTCATTTTTTACGACTCCAGGCCCTTAATTCCTTAACAAGCACTGTAGTTCGGAAAAGCCCCCGAAGCTTAGCTACATATCCTGTTCACCAGTTAGTCCCGTACAAGTACGTTCACTGAGGTTAGGTAACTTGAAAAACAGCTGATGCTGCAAAGTGCACACATTTCATGCTGACACGTAACACTTGGACCTGATTCATGGTCATCTTTCTTGAAAGGTCACGTGAAGCCTTTCGGGAAAGACGCGACTATGTAGTGAGGTATAAGAGAAAAAAAACAAACAAAAATCAGTCTTTTCTCTTCCTCCTCTGAATATCTCAGGAGGCTCCTTTCGCGCTGGAGGGGTACAAATCCACACAGGGACAAACCTTGAGAACGTTCTCCTCTACGCAGTCAAGTAGTCCACAAGCTCCTTTCCCCAAAAAGCACCAACTCGAACTGCATGGGGATGAAATACTGTGATGAAATGATCCACAGGGGTTTGTTTGTACTCCTGTTTGTTCATACGCATCAGACCCATCACTTATGTGCTTTTATTATCTAATAGTGAGATCAGAACATTATAAAAAGGTACTTTCAAAATAAATTTTCTAGAATAAAAAACATTTTCTATTTTTCCAGCCCACTTAATTTCATTACAAAATAGGAAATCAGAAAATTAGCTACTGCAGTTTTCATATGGTAAAAAATATTTATATGTGTACACACACATATAAAAATCCAAATTTTAAATTTCAATAAAAATTAACCAATTAATCAACATAATGATCATGTACTGAATTATACATAAGAAATGTTGATTACCTGTAATTGAGAACCAACTACAAAGAATTGTAATCCCCACTGATCAGAGGACAATCAAACCCTTTCCCAAGTGGGGGAAAAAAAAAAAAAATCAAGTCTCTGACTGGCTACCCAAAGCAACAGAAATCTCACTTGTCTTTTTCGGTGTAACAGCCCTAGTTTCATTCACTACACTCACACATTCCGTAAGGAAGTCGCAGTCCCTACTGGGAGGCAGACACATGACATGAGCTGGGCCTGCCCCGTCCGTGGCTGAGCCCTTTATGGTCTGCATGATGCTCGGTGCCCGGCTGAGTGGGCGTGAGGACTAAAATCCAGGCCGAGCTATATTCACCAATCTGACTACCTGCCCCAAAAGCCACAAGGTGCGGAGGACGGGCTTTTTACTTATGCACGAAGGTGCCGGTGAGATCAGCAGCTGTCCTGACACCTATGGGCAGACAGGGGAGCAGGAGTGTTCTTGGGAACATGAGGGAAAGCATGCCTGAGGCTAAGGTAAATTAGAAGTGGACGAAACTGTTCCTATCGATGAAACCCAGGAATGGTGTGTCTATGACCTCAACAAAGATGGTGGGATGTTTCCATTTTGTTGATTCCTGCCCGTTTCTTAGGTTTTCACGAGGGAAAACCTTAAGGGGCCTGAAAGGCACAAAGGAAAAAGACAGGAGGTGAGTAGGGAAGCTACCTTATTCCACAGGAGGGCCTGTTCGGAAGAATGCAAAGGGACAGTGAGCGGTGACCTGGCAGAGCTGTCTGCAATGCGTTAGTGATGGAGGGAGGGAGTGCGGCCTTCACCCAGGGTCTACGGGTGAATTCCCAAATGAAAACTCAACTATTAAAGTCACAACTATCTTTACAATCTGACCTTGAATTATCTTCCCAAGTTTACCTATGCTGTAAGAAGCCTGTTCATTCACATTTTTAATTGGTGACTTCGTGGGAGGGGTGAGGGCACACAGAGGACTTGATTTTAGGTCATTTTCCCTTTGTGACCATTTCTTTTTTGATTTTGCAAAGAGGCACATTCCCTCCCCAGTTGTCATAAATTAAGATATTTAAAAAGAACATAATAGTTTGAAAATGTTTTCTTTCTTCCTTAACTCCTGCTGTTGAAGTAGGAAATTCAGCTAAACCCTTGGAATCATTCTTTAAAACAGCCAAAAAAAAAAAAATGCACAGCTCTCTGTGCTATAAAGAACACTTATGAGTATTATTGGAGGTCGGGGGGGTGGGTTAGAGATTGAAAAGAATGACCACTTTTCTATAACCAAATTTAAGGTAACACTAGAAAATATAATTTCCATTATATACCAAATATTCAGGAGGCGAGTCAACGCCAAAAAAAGTGGGTGTGCACATGAAAGCACGGGCTTGATTCTTCAGTAGCATTTTCTTATATAATTAACATGTGTGAAACACTCCAAACCCGCCTGTCTGCATGGGTTACAAAAGATGGGTATCTACTGAGAAAAAGGGGTGTTAAAGAAAAGTCTCAGATCCCACTGAAAAATCTGTTGCAAATTTCACTTCTCTCCAGAAAAATGCATGGACTTAGATTTGTGTGTACTGTTCCAGGGGCTTCAAACACCTTCTAAGTTCCAGTCACATATCTTAGATCACGCCAGATTTCTGGTTCCCATCATTCCCATGAGGGGCCCAAAGAACTGGTGATCCTTCCCCGTTCCTACCATCTGCATTTCTCCTAGTGAGTCAGGGAGGGCAGGGAAAAACCCCAACCCAAACCAGAATAAGCTAAAAGAAAAACACTTTGCTTCAAACACCAATTTGTCACTCATTTGCCCCTGGAAGAAAGAACATCCCAATCTCTAGTTGCTTCTATCAAATGCCGTTGGCCATGACTCATCCATTCTTCCTGGTCTTCATATAGCCGTCCACAAAACCAGCACTTGAATATACATTGTGCATCATCAGGCAAAGAACCCACCACCTGATAGTTGTTTTTATGAACTTTTTTAAGTTTCATTTTCAACATCATCTGCCTTTTCATTTGATTGGCTTCGTCCACATTCTGGTAGGTGAGCCGAACATGATGCCGCCTGATGCCTAACTGACACCTCGTCCTCTCTGATAAGACGACTTTGAGGACGTTGCCTTTGTACTTATTTATGACCTTCATCACATTGGTCACTTCTGGTGAGTCAACATCTGGGTGGTTTAACACGATGACGGGCTGGTTCCGACGGGGGCATTTAATCAACTGGTCTGGTTTGGCTGCTATCAGTCGTAGCTGTCTTGCAACCTGAAAAATTGAAGGGTCCTTGAGACAGCGGCTGGGATCGGCCTGAATCTTGCTTTTCTTCTTGGATGAGTTGACTTGTTTGGTTTTATTTTTACTGATAGAAAGACTTCTGGGAAGCAGTTTTCCTTGCTTACTCAGTTCACTGCTTCCCTGCAGACCATGCAGGGTGCCAGGTTTTTTAGGGGTGGTGCTACAAACCACACTCTCTCTTCTTGGTTTAGGCCGAAAAGTTGTGTCAAGGTTATGGGACATGTCTATTGGCCCACTTTCATTTGTCAGAGGCTGTAAATCTGAGTCTGTCTGTTTCGCTGGGCACAATGGAATGGGTGTTATTAACTGGGTCTCACTGCAAGGGATGCTGACGGGTGCTCCACACGCAGCCTCTATCACATGGGCATCGTCAGAGGAATTAAGAACCCTCAATACTGCCCCCTTGGGGATCAACACTGGAGTAGCGACATGAGCTTTCCTGGTTACTTGGCTTTCAGTTTTCCCATTGCTGCCTTCTATAAACTGTGGATATATGCGCTGGCGAGTAAGCTGGGCACTAATACTGCCGACATCGCGAGGCTTTGGGAGAGTTCCCAGGGGATAGCCAGGGCCAGTAAATGACACATTCATTTCTTGAACACCTTCAGGGGTGGCTTTCTCAGTGACCTTTGATGCCTGCCCCACAGAATGGCGATGTGCGTTATTTCCAGCCAAAGATGAAGGCTTGCCACAGGATTCAATTAACTGAGCTATCTTTCTGCGCAAGAGTTCAATTGACTTTTTTTTGGATGTTGAACTATTCCACTTAACACCCTCAGGGACATCTTCAGATCCAGAGCTCAGGGAAAATACTGATGAGATGACCGGGCCCTCGAAAGAGTCACTGGTCCTTTCAGAATTCTTTAATTCCAAAGGTTTATCCCCAGGCTGTTGAGATCTGATTCTGTCTTCTCCTGTTATGTTTATGTGTAAATACTCACTTCTACGTTGAGAGGAAATCTGGCCGATATTTGAAACTGCCTTGTATTCCTGTGTCTGGCTGTCTTTCAGCTTCCTAGTAGACGGAACCATTGTTACGGGAATACTGATCCCACTTCTAGATTCCAAGTCACTTTTTCTTATGGGCAATAAGCCCTTTTCTTCCAAGAAAGAAAGGGTTGCGGGTGATGGAAGAGGGAGTAACCTCTGTGGGTCACTGTGTAAATTTCTTCCATCTTCAGGAAAAGAAACAGCAGCTTTATATGGAAAAGGATCTGATGCAGTGCCAAGACCCCATAAGACACTGCTCTTGTCTACAGATGATGGGGAAGGGTGTTTTAAGGCCACGGGAGGAAGAGCAGTTCTATGTGGATACATGTGGCTTTTTTTCTGCAAATACTCAACCCTCTCAGAGTTGAGAAGGGTCTCTCTATAGCTGTGAACGTTAGAATTTGACATGAAAAAATCGTAAGACCTCACCCATTTCACATTTTTAAGTTGTTTCTGAACTGATGATTGAAGATTATCAATACTACCAAGTTCCCCACCATTCCCTCCAATCGTGAGTGACTTTGTTTGTTCTGCAGAAACCGTTTTTTCTTGCTCATTTGAACTCTTCTCTCTCGCTATCCGTTCAGAAGGACCTCCATCACCCCCACCAGCTTCAAGGCAATTATTTTCTTCCAGAGGAAACAGTTTCAGAACAAGCTGCTGTGTTCCATTGACAACCTTCACATCTATCAACTGGGCTAAACAGTTTGCAGGGACCACCAGTTCCGCTGGTGCCACAACTGTTAGTGGCATTCCAGGCTGGACGGGCTCTCTGGAGGGAGATAATACTTCCACCTCCACACTTTTGTCCTTGAATAGAGTGACTTCATTTGGCTCCAACAGTGGCATTTTATTTGGGACACACACGACGTCTTTTTGGTGTTCCTTTGATTCAAGTAAGGACCTGACATTGTGTGTTTTGTCTTTACTTGCATGGAGAGAGAACCTTGAAAGCTGATCTGACAACTTACTCTGAAAAGCAATGCTTGGATTGGAGGCTTTTAAAAGCTCTGTGTTTTTTGATGTGCTGCTTCTCCTGGGCTCCAACTTGGCAATAGTTTTGGGCGGCCGTTTCCCGCCAGCCCTCTCGTGAACCCTCCTTCTGTGTTTGACAATGTAATCGTTTCTAATAGCACCATAGTCACAGTACTCACATTGGTAAGGGAATATGCCCGTGTGTTTCACCAAGTGCCTCTGAAATTCCCCTTTGGTGTAGGAAACGTAGCTGCAGTGAGAACAAATGAACTTAATCTCTTCGTGCTGAAGTGTGTGCTTCCTGTACTGCAGAGGGTCCTTGGTGGAGAATCGACACTTATCACAATAGTATTTGCCTGGTTTAAAGTTCCTTACCTTAAATTTGTTATTTCCAGGATTGGAGATGGTTTCAGTTTTATTTCCTACATGAGTAGCGCTGGGATTACTGTCCCCCAAATGAAAGTGGGGAGAAGCCACGCCAAGGCTGCACTGGAAGCACACATACTCGTCTTCCTCTGGGTCTTGCCCGGTGCCCTTTCTCAAGTCCTGAAGAGGAATTTTGTGCACACTTTTGCACTTGACACACGTGGTGGTGGTCATCATGGCAGCCTCTGCCTCTGAGCCTTGACACAGAAGAGTCTGGGCGTCTTGCCTATATGGCCGAGTCGCTCGATTATCAGCATTAGGTTGTCTGGGCGACATGGTCAAGGAATTATGTCCATTCACTTGTGGAGTAAACAACTGCTGCCCAGTGTCCTTCATCTTCTTTATTTGCATTTCTGAATGGAGTCCACTGAAATCCAGAGGCTTCACATGATAAAATCCTTCAGAGGCATCTTTCAATGTGCTCTGTGATTGGCAGAGACGTGGTTCCCTCCTGGGAGCATACTTAATTAGCTCCTTTTATATACCACCGCAGTCCATGCATGGTCCCCAGACGTGACTATTTCCAATTCTCTGATGTTCCAGGCAACATAAGCGGGGAAAAAAAGAAACCAGAAAGCATGATGAATACATGAACTTAAGGGTTAGCTAAGCGATTTCCAAACTTAGCCTATATGTCAATGACTTTGGGAACTTATGCTAACTCTCGACATACAATAATCTTAGACACACGTTGATAATAACACACAATGCAACAGAACTGGCAGAATGACAAGCCTAAACTGGAAATACTTTCAAACTCAGCCCCCTAAAAGTCACCACTTTAGATCAACTGTAAACGTCAACATACCAGGAGGAAGGGACTCACAGCTGTCACTCAGAAGAGCCTTTGATCAGTGACAGTTGTTAAGAGTCACTGAGTGCACCTCGCCATTTCCCAGGTATAATTTCATATTAGCCTAACAGGACAGGGGATTGTCACTTCAGTTTTGAAAAACACAAGTCATCAAGCAGTGCGGCCCGGGCTTCGGCTCAGGCGTCCATTTGTTTCTACACTATAGCTGATCATCAGCGTGGATCCCAGCTCTCGCACTCACAGGCTCCATTTGCTTTCACAAGTGGTAGGTACGTCGACACTGACAGTACCAGGTAGACACATACTCATTCCTCCAACATCTCAGCATCCATCACGTGCCAGGCTCTGTCCTAAGTGCTCTGTGGCAGCGGCCAAAAGCAAATCAGTCCCTACCCTCATGAGGATACGGGGGCCAGCGGGTTATATATTTATTTGTCAGACAGTAACTGGGAACAAAATAACCATACAGGAAGGCGAGGGGCTGAGGGAGTGACTACGCGATGAAGCTGTGAGCCTGGAGGCAGGGACAATCAGGAGAGCCTTGTGATGGTACGCGCCATTCAGGCAGAGACTTCAGGGCAGCCGGGGGCGAGCTCTGTGGCTGTTTGGCAGAAGGCGTTTCACACCAAGAGGAGAGGGTCTGTGGGAAGTGGGTCTGGGGCATGGCTGAGACGGCAGGATGAGGGGCAGGGAGAGGAGGGAAGAAAGAAAGTCAGAGGGAGGGGGCGCTGCTCAAGGGAGGATCTAAAGACAGTACCATGGATATGGCCTGGCCTCCACCCGAGAAAGAGAACCAGGGGACAGACCAGAGCAGCGACATGACCTATCTGTGAATCAATTCCCGCAACAGCCTCCAGTGGCTACGAGGACAAGTCTGTGAGGGTGAAATGATAGCGACAGGGAGACCCGGTGGGACACGAAGGTGGCGTAGAATGCTGCTGGAGAGACACACACGTTTCCAGAGCAAGTACCACACTACGTGTAACAGTGCCTACTTTTTATATCAAAAGGGTTGATTATCTTTAAATACACTGCCCCCTGCCCCTGAATACACAGAATTAGGAGCTGCAAAAACCATTCTGGTTTGAGAATCTGTTAAAAGCCTTACTTTTATGACCTTAAAAAAAAAAACCACTTCAATCTTTTGAGTTTCCATTTTTGCATCTGGCAACTAGAATTAAGGACACTGATCCAACCTCTCCCTCGGCGCTGGCGTGACCACTAACGCTAAGGAGTAGGAGAGAGCTCTTGTGAAGTTGTAAAGTGCTTCTCTAAGCGTCAAGAGGCGCACACTGGCTCTCGGTCAGTGTTTGCTCAGGGATGGGCAGCACTGCGGGCGACAATTAGTGGCTCTGTCCTGGCACACGGCCACCAGGCCAGGGGCCACAGCCAAGTCCCAAAGGCTGATCTGCGGGGTCAAGAGAAACAATGACTGCATGCTCAGGTCTAGCATGTAACTTGCCCTTTAAAAGCATTTTTGGAAAGCATCATAACATACCCTATTAATAAACAAGCTTTATTTTCTTTGACAGTGTCTTTTCCCTATGTTGCTTTTGCAAAAGATAGTTGCCTCCTTTCCAAAGCATGCAGTCAAGCCTGGGGACATCTGAGGGCTCCATCGGACGTGCTCTACCCTAACTGTGTATAATCCCCAGGCATCAAGTGGGCGGAGGCCTGGCGGGTGGCAAGGCACCGGCTAGCGGCTCAGTGTTCACAAGCTTACCTACGCAAGGGGACTGTGACTAGGGGACGCATGCTTCAAACTGGCAAAAGGGGACCCGCGGGCAAAGACGAGGCCCTCCATTTCCCACTGCACTCCTGGTCCATGCAACAGGTAGGACTTTCAGAGGAGTCACTAGAAGGTGATGACTCTATTTTCCAGATTTGTGCAGTGGCTTTGATGAAGGGAAGACAGTGACACAGACAGTGGCACCCAGAACTTCTGCTACTAATCAAGTGCCTTCAAGCAAGCTGCCCATTTCCATTGCTTGCTCAGCTAGGTGATTCCGAAGCCCAGTCTGACGTTGCTGACCCCTGAAATCACAGACTTTCTATCATCTAAGAATGTTCCTATCATCAGTATGTTTACATCAGCATTTTCATCCTGTTAAAATGGAGAAAGCCATGGCTGCAACCGGAACCTAAAAAAGCCACAGGCCCAAATCCTAACAGGGCTTAAAAAGGGCTCTGGTCCAGTGGTTCCCAAGTCTGGAGGAGCCTCAGAATCACAGCGAAAATAGTCAGGCCTGGGCTTCACTCCAAAGTGAGTGCCTCTAAATCTTGGTGGAAAGGGAAAGGGACATTTGTGGTTTATAAAAGCACACCATACAAGTCGGATGAAGGCCAGTATTAGAAACGACTAAAGGCCAGTATTTGACAGCTCGACCTGGAGCTGGGCTGCCGTGAGTGGTTGGCGACGGCGTGGGCTGCAGTGGGGCTGCAGTGGGCTGCCGTGAGCCACCGTGAGCGGCTGTCCAATGGCAGGTGACCAATCTGCCTCAGTTGGGAAGAGTGCAATGATCACAATACCAACATGGGCCAGTGAAGTTACGTCCTCCACAACTAGACTGAAAAACAAAAGGACAACAACTTGTCTGTTCCCCTTCCCCGATTCCCCCATAAAATCTTTAAAAAAAAAAAAAAAAGAAAAAGAAACGACTGTTTGAAAGTTCTAGCATTATTTCAATCCTTTAGAACATCTTCACCAGTTGATGTTCTAATGTTGCCGTAAATAAAGCTTCTTTCCCCCAGGCAGTTAATTTTGTCATCACATAGTTATCATTTTCAAGACTTTACCCTTAAATGAAACTGAAACCAGCCTCCTTGTAACTTTCTTATATCCTGACTCTGGAGCTACCATTTAATTCCGCTTGACAGACTACCTACGAATCTACACGCTTCTCTCCCCCAGTCCTTAGTTCTCAGCTCTGTACAAAGACGCGCATGCCCATGGATAAGTACATCTCGTCTACCAGACTCAATCCTACTAGTTACAGGGGGGCGGGGGCAGAAAAAGAAACAGAAAAAGCAACTTGCCTGCCTGGCACAACTTGCATACCAACTCTTCCAATGTAACACCTTACACATTAAGCCTAAAGAATTCTCAAATCATATAATGAGATTCCTCTATTTGAAGTATCATCCAAAGCAGAATTCCATTCATACATTTTCAGCCTCCAATATTCTTAAAAAAAATCACAGAAGGCAGTTTTGCCATTTCCTCTCCAAGTCCTTTTAAAACTCGGGGGTGTCATTCCTGCTAAAACTGAAAACCTAACATGTAAGACAGACTAGACGAGAAAATCACATACATTAGCAAGTGGAGAGCATCCTGATGGAGGCAAGTCCCTAAGGACTTAACCACGCCACGGAGAGAGCCCAAGGAATGCACAGGCCCCGTGCAGGTGCTTCCACAAAACCATCTCAGCACTGATTTTGAGTTAAGAATCCAAAGCAGCAAGTGCCAATACAAAGCACGAGGCTGTGCTTAGCAAGCAGTTTATGGGGAGGGCCAGGCATCTAGGTCATGAATGAGTTATGTCACCTGTTAGAAAGTATCTTCTTGGCTTCTAAACCATTCTCAAAATAATGCAATGTTTTTATGTTGGTACTTCCCTTAGTCCAGGTGAAAAAGATGGCAGGTTTCTTTAAAACAAGCAGACAGAGTTCTCTTTGGCCTTTGCAACTTGTGTGGCTAGTCGCAGGGACAAGATCTCAGCTGTAACACCCAAGGCAGAGGTAAACGGACCAAGCGGCATAGGAGAACTAAGGCGGCTTGAGGTTGGACTTACACGTGGACAACTCCTGAGGCCACACAGGGCCCTACTCCCCCATCCCCCCACTTCCCCTCTCTGGTTCACATTCAGGTACTACCGGCTGGGTCCTACTGGTAGATTACTGCCCTGTGGGCTGATGACCAAGGATTACAAAAAACACTGCAGACAAAGCGCCGCCATGCGTGTGCCTGACACCCAGAGGGCGCTCAGTAAGTCACTGCTGACCTCGCTGTCCGCGTTCACCTGCCTTCCGTACTCACAACACCTGTTACAAAATGCCCAGCATTCAACCTCCTAGGGCTAGAAACAAACATTCTTTAGATAACTCAGGAGGGTCCTCAAAAACACAGAAAATACTTAGTATTCGTAACTTCTGATGCAACTTAATAGTAAATTGCCTGTGCTTTTTGGTTTTAACAGCATACAGTGTGCTTTTTAATGCAGAATTATCCACAGCCTCAGCCAGACATCTGCCACACGCCACAGAGATGTGGAACAGTGTCTCACAAATGTGCTTCCTCCTCTAGGCCGTCTTGTCTCTTCCTGGGAAAAGGCCTCAGTGCAGCATTTACTTTTGACTTTGAGCCCACTTGCCCTGGTTTCTTAAAGATTTATTACGAGGACATGAAAAAAATACCAGGTTTGTTAGAAACCAGTTCAGTGGCATTGAGAGCTATAAAAACCATGAAGGATAAATTCTTATTAAAAAGAAAGCTTTGACGTCTAAATACTATAAATTTCAAGCATTTCACAGAATTAGGAAAGAAATAAGTAGTAAAATAGTGTTTAAAGCTACCAGTTCTAGAATCAGATTCCAGAGCTTTAAAATCTCAGTCCCATTCGTTTCGAGGTGTGTGACCTGTCAGCTTTCCTCCTCTGTCAAAAAGACAGTGACAGGACCTACCTCACAGCACTGTCGTGGGATTAAATGCGATAATGTGACTATAGGTGCTTAGAGCTAAGTTACTCACACATCAGAAACTGTTAAAAATATTATTTTCCATTTTTTCCTGAAAAAACTAGAAGAAATGATGCCGATCACAAAAACAGTTACAGGGATAAATAACAAGCTTCTTAGCTGCCTGGCAACTAGTCTTTCCAAAATATGTTCTGAATCTCATTTTATAATCTTCATTATATTTGTTTAGTTGTACAGCCTAAAAGAAAATTGACCTCTGGGGAAAACCATCCACCCACCCAGCCTTACTGGCTGACAGGTGCTTATAATTACCGTGGAGAAGATGCTTTCACTCCAACTTAATTACAACTTAGGTTTCTATGTACAAGCTAGTTACTAAAATATCTTTTCCTCTCCAAGCCCAGCTAGATTGTGAAATATCCCTGTAGCAAATGAATGCGTCTCCACGTCAGATGTCCACATGGTGAGTAACAAAAGTGGCTGGCCAATGACATCATGTGCCTGGCCAGTGACATCACGTGCACCATCACACACAATGCTGTTCTTGAGAGACGCCCACCTAAATCAGTAGTTGACTGACTGCATCCTTTCTAGACAGAGAAGCACATTTAGGGAGCTCCTTCCAAAAATCCCATCATCACGGCTCCGGCCACATCCTGTCCCGGGGCAGGGCTGGAGCTGCTGTACCACAGAGCAAAGGGATGGAGGTGGAGGGTCTGCAGTTCAACCTCTGACTCTGTCCCTGCTCTGCTGGGTCCTTAGGCAAGTAACTTCTCTCTACTTCTTGTCAGGCCAGGAAATAGGGTTTGAGATCATCAAGCTTACAGGGTCATTAGGAGAAACGAGCTAGATAATGTAGACAAAGCGCTCAGCCCATGGCACAGGCCGCAAAATGGCACCTGCTCCTGCTGTCTGCTCAGCCTTAGCGAGGGCTCGCCTAAATGTCTCCCAGTCGCCCAAATTTTAAACATCCCACCTGAAAGTGCCCAGACGCATGTGGACAGGTGACAACTGATCAGGGCAAAACAGCTCAACAGAAGGTGTGCAAACTGCTCGTATGTCCCCAGCAGGATGGTACTCAGGAGGAGGCTGGCCTCACTCAACGAGAACCTTTTCAGACCATTACAAAGACTCAGAATTGAACTGAACGGTCAGTCTAAAGAAGGAAAAGCATCCATTAACTACTAGCTGCTTTTTGCCAAACTACCTTGAATTTAGAAATGATGGAATTCCAAACTGATAACAAAAAATACTTCCAAATGTTGCGACAAACGTACCACCTTTGGGATCCTAGATTTCCTTCTGAAACCAAAGAGTGTAATAGGAGGTGGGCACAGAATGGAGCAAGAGGGCCCCTGTTCTGATGCCTCTGCTTCCCAGGTGAGAAGTTAGGGTTAGAGCAATGACCTTGGGACACCAAGAGCAAGGTTCAGAACCCAGGTTTCCGAGTTAGTGGCTGTGTGATGCTGTACTTGCTAACCTCGGAGCCTGAGTTTTCCCATGTAGACAATGGGAATAATGCCTAATTTACATGGCTGATGTGAGGAAGAAGTATATATGCAGATGGCAGGTAATCTTATGCTTGGCACACAGTACATGTTCTGTCAAGAAGTCAGTCAACATATTTTGGTAAGACTCCTTGGAACAGAGTCCAGTCATCTCCGCTCTTAGCTTAATGACCAGGCCTGATGAGATTAAGGCGTATGACAGCAGGGAGCTATGGCCAGAGGGGAGAGCCTTCCCTCCCCACCCTCCAGTCTACAAAGGAGTTACTTTGGGATTTACTCCACCCTGTAGAGATTACTTCAGAAAACAAAGAAAGTTATCATACAGTTTAAAATCAAAACCATTTAAAAGAAAATCTTTCAAAAGAAAGAATAGGACCAATGCTGGAGCTCTAAAGTCTAAAACTTAAAAGAGTTATATATGTGGGAGGGGGGAAAGTTAAGGAACAAATATGCTCGTTAGTGTTAAAAAAAACCCCAAAAAATCAAGGTAAAAAAAACAACAAGGTAGTATGACAAGCAATATTATAAAATTTAATTATTAAGCACACCTAGTGACTTCAGATCTCTAAAGGTGATAAATTTGTTATTTCCCCTCCTTTTTATTTTGCCTTTAAGGAAAACCAAAATTTCCTGAAAGAAATGGATTAAGAGCTTAGTAAAAAGTGTAATCAAACACAGCAGAGGTATCTCCCAGAAAAGCAGTGATTCTTAACTGTGCATTAGGGTGCCAACTTGTCATAATATGTCCAGGATGTTAACCTTAGTTTTTAAAGAGGTCCTTGGGATGGTTGGTCACCCTACTTACTGCACACCAGAACTACCTGGGGAGCTTTACTAATGATGTCTGGGCCCCCGTGTGTGAGCGTCATGTGCAGCCAAGGTTGAGAACCACAGCCTGACATTACAGGGGCAGAGGAGAGCACAGGAGTGGCAAGACTATCAGCATCCTGTGCCATCTCTGCTGGGCTTACCCCACTCGTGGGGGCCTGGAGGCAGGACGAGGCCACTGCCTTGCACTGTAATGAGGCGATTAGGCAAGTGCACTCTGGGTCCTAGCCCTGCTTAGCCACGTGCCCTTGGAAACATCATCACTGATACCCTCTGTAAAGTGTGTAATGACAGCAACAACTTCGTAGGTTCTGGGAACCTCGGCTATTCCTGGCACAGTGCCTGGCATGGTGTGCGCCCAGGGAGCATGCAGGACTGACCCACCCCCACATCTGTCTTTACGGATGTACCAGGAGGTGGAGAGGATAAGTGGGTGGTTTCAGTAGAGTGGTAAATGCTACCCCAGGAATCTGACTGGGATGCTCAGTGGTTGGCTGCGTTTGTCAGTCGGAGTGCCGTGGCCCCATCAGGTGGAAGGGGTACCTGCAGAAGCAGATTCATACATGACATCAGCATTCCTCAAGGTACCCCTTCAATTACCTACTTCTTATAAGGTAACAGATCTGGAGAAGCTGGGTGGCTTTTCTAAGGTCACTGAGTTGGTCAGCTGGTATCTAAGCTCTTTGCCTTCTGCTACCCACTGTGAGGCTGTGAACGGAAGTCACAGCATCTGCTGTGCTGGGCACTGTTCTTACTTCCAGTCTGGAGCCGTCGAGCTGCAGAAGTGAGTCAAAAGCGTGGCAAGTTGCAGAGCTCTTCTTCCTCAGGCACCGAGTCCCATGTGTCTCAACGGCAGGCCCCGCAGAGGCTTCTACACTCAGAACCCTGGGGGCAGCGAGCACTGCACGAGGCGCCCTGCAACAGAAGCCAGACACTGGGGTTGAAGCCCTGCGCCTGTGTAGCCTTGGCTCCTTCAGGCACTTTTTTTCTAGAAACCAAGGGGATGAGCCGCCAAGTACTTCTCAAGCAGCGGTGTGGGGCAGAGTCACACAGGGTTTAAAATTCTTCCCAGGTGATTCTGATGCCTCCCCTTCCCCACCCCCAAACCCTCACCCCATGATGAGAATGTCTGGATTAGATGGTCTCTAGTCGCTTTCACTCCAAGGATGGATCCTGGAAATTGAAGTTGGCTGATTTGCATATGTGAACACAGAAAATGCAGTCTATGCCAGGTAGCGTGAGAACAATCAAGACTGGGAAAACTCACAGGCGAGGATATTGCTTATCAGTCAACAGTAGGGCTTGGCCGCAGAGGGCACTCAATACATATTGGTTGAATGAATGAATGAACGAATGAAGGAGTCAAAGAAAGAAAGGTCAGGCTTTATGCCAACAATAAAAATGTTCTTTGTTCTTCCTGTTGCACAAAAACTGGCCTAGATCCCCTTACTTAAAAGCAAATAGATGAGTTTTTATTTTTTAACTGCTATTACTGGATTTAAAAAAAAATCTATATTAGTTTGGCATAACACGTCAGGGAGGAGGCCCAGTAAATCAAGTAACGCCCTCCTTTGGCTGTTTTCAAAATGCACTTGCAATGAACGTCATCAGCCTAACAAAACTGGGTAGGTACAAGTGTTATTTTTCAAGGCTATATTCGACCCAAGATAAAATATAACTTTAAAAAACGCATCCTAGGTTAAAGATAACATTAAAATCATACAATTTAAAGGGCCAAACATCCTACTTGCATTCTACTTAAAGAGACTGACAATATGTTCGATACTAGTTTCTAGACAAGAATTCCCTGGGCTTTCAGGACCCTTGGTGGGTATATCCTGTTGTGTACACAAACCACTGACTGGGTTGAATTTTGCGTGTGTGACTTAGAGAAGACAAACATTCCTATTCTCTGCTCTTCTACAGGAAAGGACTTCCAGATCCCCAGGAGCAAGGTCTGTCGTACTCTTGGTGACTTCGATTCTAAACTTAAGGGACAATGTTTAAGGGTTGTAACAACATTGCAGTTTAGCTGTTTAGACTTTTATTTTCGAATAGGACAAGGTGCCCAGAATTTCGCTTTTTATTTTTTAACGATAGGGGTTGATAAATTGTTAATTATCCCAGTTTTTAAAGTCAGGGGTATTTTTAACGGGATACATGAAATACCCCACATACATGAGGGGCTTGTGTTTTCTTTCATTTTTTTCCTTCGGTTTCCTTTTCCGGTTAAGACATTTTCATTCTTTTGTACTTGCGTTGTCTCCTTCCCTGGTCTGAGGCTGCCCAATAACCCTAAGGCGACAAGATAAAAGGGCAGGCTGGGGCGGGGGAGGTCCCACAACGTGATGTCAGCATTTGGAACAAGTCAAATCTTCACCATCTACCCTCCGCCTCCCCAGCAAAAGATGTACAGGTCCTCAGCGGACAAACCCGTCCCCGGACACATTCCCAAAACGCCCAAGGAAAGACAATGCCAGTCTGGTTTTCAAGTTTATTGTTGTCACGCTCACACAGAGGGTACACATCATCCGAGGCAAGTCCCTCTCTCACAGCGTGGGTGCTACAAGGGAAGGCGCGGTTCAATGGGGTCACACTGTGGTCTCCCAGGGGCTCCTTCTAACTCCTGAAAATCGAAACACTTCAGCTCCTACCTCAGAGGCCCGCCCGGAGGAGGCTTTAAAAATGGCCTCCTGACGACACTTCCTGCTTGGAGCGGACCGGTAGAAATGTTCCCAAGAGATGCATCATTTAAAATGCTGGGGGCGGGCGGAGGACGCCGGCTCTGCGGCTCCACAGCAGCGTCTGCAGCCCGGACACTGCCCCCGAGGGTCTCGACCCTGCGCAACCGGGGCGAGCCTGCAGGGTCGCGGCGGCGGCACAAAGGCGGGCAGGCAGGGGGCGCCGGACCCACACCCAGCGCCGCCCCGGCCCCCAGGGTCTGCGCTCCTCCCGCACCCTCCACCTCCACCTCCCCGGCCGCCCGCGCCCCTCCCCCGCACCGAGCCCGCAGTCGGCCTTCCCCCGGCCTTCTCGCCACGAAGCGGGGCCCAAGACTCGGGTAGGCATGCGGGGCCGCGGGCCGCGCCACCCATCCTGCCAGCACGGCCTCGTTGGACCCCGCTCCCCGCGATCCCCCTCCGCACCCAGACCCCACCCGCCCCATGCACGCGCACCCGGAGCCCTGGCCCTCTTGCTCATCCACTCACCCGCCGGTCGCGGTCCGGAGGGGAGCCTGTCCCGCCGGCCTCAGGCTGCCGCCGCCGCCGCGCAGGCTGTAGGTCCGCTGTAGGTCCCTACTCGGGGGCGGAGTCCAGGTCAAGGCCGCGCAAGCGCAGTGCTGAGCGGAGGCTCCGCTGGAGCGGCACCGCCCGAGGACCCTAAGGCTGTGCGGATCCCTGCCTGGTTTCAGCGCTATGCAAAACCGGAGGAGACCGAGCCCTCGTCCTGGGCGGAGCGCTCGACCCAACACGTCCACGCCTGCTGTGTGCAGTGTCCACACTTAGCCTGGATGCCCACCAGCTCCCGGATCCTCCCTGTGAAAGGAGGGCTGATTCTGCTTGCGGCGTCGGCCCAGCAGACGGCTCGTGGGCGCCGAGCAGAGGGCGCGCTGGCCTCCTGCCCTCGTGGGGCTTGAAGCTGAGCAGTGCAGGGAGTGAAAGAGAGAACAGGAGTCAGGTCTTCAGTCAACAAGTTCTTCTTCCCAGACAATGGCAGCGAACGAGATGGTCTTAAAAGGCCTGGATTCGAATTCGACTGCCCCGGCCCCTTTTTATCCTAGCTGCAGGACCTTGGGCAAGGAAGTCCCCTGACCTCCCTGTCTCAGTGTTTTCATTTCTAAAGGTGGGAAGATCAGCCCCGAAGCCCAGAGCCTCGTAGGTAAGGTTGTGAGGGTCAGGCGAGACAATGATTGGAGAGTCTGGAGATGGCGTGAGGTCATTTAATATCAGACTTTTTTTTTTCCTGCTTCTTGGACGCCAGCACTATTTATGGGAACCGCTCCCCACCCCCACCCTCACATGCTCACTTCTGTCCTTCCTGCAGGAAGATGTATTTAGATTGGACTCCTCACAGAGGAAAAGACTGGGACCATATTGCTAGAGCCTCCATAATCAGCAGTGCAGATGCTGCTCCCCACAAAATAAAATTGCTCCCTAGAAAGGGCAGATTGTGGCAGGGAAGCGGAGTCACCCGGAAGCGCAGTTTCTCCAGAAATAACAGCTGAAAGTTTATTTCAGAGCTTCGAAAGGAGCAAGGCAGGCTTCCGATGCTTTCCTGTTGGAGGCTAGAGGTCAAGGTGCATGGACGTCAGCCAGAAGCCCAGAGGAGATGCAGGGCTGGGTCAGTTCTTCAACACGGAGAAATGGAATTCAGGAAACAGCGTCCGCTTCAGGATCAGTGGTGGGATAGAAACGTCCAAGACTGAAAGAGCGAGAGCTGGGCAGAGGGAATGGCAACCCCGAGATGGGTCAGCAGCAGCAGCAGCCCCCTACTCGATGCCGCAATACTCGACCTCCATGCTCGTAAGCATTGAGCCTCCTGGTCCTTTGTCTCCTAGGGCTCAGAGAACTAGTGGATCTCCTTTTCAGAAACACAATTATGTACAAAGAGCTCATACCAGCGAGAATAGGGCAGAGCGTTCAGTCTCCCCCAAGAGTGAGGTGGACTTGGGAAGGACACTGAAAATCTAAACTGGCCACTGCCTGGAAATCTCCAGTGGCAAAAGGAGCCAAATCAGGAAAAACTGTTAATTCTAAGCACTGGAGAATCAGAAGTCTGAGATCCCCCCACCCCCTCCCCAAATCTAGCCCAAATTGTTGCCTTTCCTTGTAACTTCACCCATACATCACCATTCTGCCCCCTTGAGTCACATAGAATTGATGAGAGAGTCCCTGTGGGTTTCCTGGAAGTTTCTCAGGAGTCAGAGATGTGTATAAAGCCCAGCTTGGCGTGAAGAAGCTGCTCCTTAACCTGTCCAGACCTTGTTTCTCATGTAAAATTTAGTGAATAATAGGACAACTCACAAGCCAGTTGTCCCCATAAAACAAAGGAAGCAGGTCAGGGCACAGCACAGTCCCTGGCAGATAGGAAGTGCCCATTCTCTTATATTTCTTTGGAGTCCAAATTAAGTGAGATAGAATGCTTTGTGAAGGGTTGGGAAGTGGGGGTGTTTACAGCCTGGAAAAGGGCCAAGCGGGGATAGAAATCACACCTGTGGAAACCTCTAAAGTTGAAGCGTTGTTCCCTGAAAGCCTTTTGATTCAGGGAGAGTTCACCCAGAAATGTCATTTCTGGACGTACAGCCAGGGCATCCTTCTTACCCTTACGGCAGCCCTTCATGCCTTCTTTCCCGTCTTCCAGCTTAGTTTGCCTAAAATGTTTTTTAGTGCCCCATGAGTCGCCCACTGTTACAGGTTGAATTATGTCCCCTCCAAAGATATGTTAGAGCCCTCTATCCCCAGGGCATGTGAACACCAATTCATACCTCTGCATGTGACCTTATTTGGAAATAGGGTCTTTGCAGACACAGTTTAGACTTAGTTGAGGTCATCAGGTGGGCCCTAATGCCATGATTGGGGTCCTTGAACAGATTCAGAGAGGAGAATGCCATGTGAAGACAGAGACACAGGGAGAAAGGGGCCATGTGATGACAAAAGTCAAGACTGGAATGGTGCTGTCCCAAGCCAGGAATGCCTGGGACTGTTGGAAGCCGGAAGAGGCAAGAAAGACTCCTCCCCTATAGGTTTTGGAGGGAGCATGGCCTGCTGACAGCTTGATTTCAGACTTCTAGCCTCCAGAACTGTGGGACAGTAAATCTGTTACAGCAGCCCTAAGAAACGAATACAAACTCCCAGATATGACTGCCTTACAGACAGGAGAAAGGAGGGAGGGCATATGAACAAGACCAATCATTGACTATTAGGGCTGGGAGCTGATGTTCATTCATTTACTTATTCATTCAACAAACACTTATTGAGTGCCTGTTTAGGGCAGGCACAGGCAATGTGCTGAGGACAGAATGAAGAACAAGATAATAAGGCTCTGCCCTCAGGGAGCATTCATTTTGTTGGGGGTTGTGAGCTCAACCAATTAATGGAACATGTAATTAATAGGGAATGCTGGAGTCCAGGGAGAAAATAAAACTCGGTTGTGTGGTGTGGAAGGGCGTGCAAAGTCAGAGAAAGGATGACCTGAAAGGCTCAGAAAGGGAACTTTGAAGATGAGATCTAAGCCATGAGGAGGAGCCAGCACAGGAAGATGGAAGAGAGCGTTACATACAGGGACACGCATGCGCAAAGGCAGAGAGACAAGCACAAGCTGGACACGTTTGAGGAAGACGGAAGGGCGACGCCGATGTCGGTCGTTCTAGCCACTCACAAACTGTGTGATCTTAGGGAGTCTTTTACCCGGACTCTGCTGGTGAGGACTCTGGGGCTCAGAGGGAGGTACTTGATCCCACTGTGCCTGGTCTCTAACAGCCGGGTCAAGAACTTCGGACTAGTGTTGCCGGAGGACGAGGGTCAAAGACATGTAAATCTCAGGCACTTCAAGACAATGCATGAACAGGAGACCCAAGGAAGTGGCTTTTTTGTTGTTTAAAACATGTCAGGTAAATTTCTAGTAACTTGTTTGACCTTAGTTTGTTCATCTGTGAAAGAAGGACAAAAGCCTTTGCCCAGTGTCCCCAAGTTCATATAAGACAGCCCAGATGCTCAGATTCAGTTCTTCTCCCAGTCCTGGGGAGCAGGGATTCGAGGCTGCAGAGTCAACTCCTGATCCCACTACTCATCTGTGCAAGCTGTGTGACCTGGGGCAGGTTACTGCGGGTCTCTGAGACGCTTTTTTCAACAGTAAAAGGGATTAAGTTCAGTAACCTTTCTTGGAAGTTGTCCGGGGTGGAGGGGCGCGCCTGAGGCTAGGCTCAGGTTCCAGCCGCCTCTGTAGCTGCTATACAGCGAGGTGGGGCCGGGAGCCTCGAGCGGTGCACAGGGCATGCGCAGCCTGTAGAGCCCAGGGAGGCTGCCTGGACACTGTCCTCAGCCCCGCCCGCGAGCTCCACGTGCTGCAGTACCGCCGGCGGCCTGTGATGTCGCTGCGGGGCTGGCCCTGCGGGCTCCGCCAGTGTAGAGCTCTATCCCACGTCAGTGACTCACAGACAGATGGTCCTGCGCTCACCTGGGCGCCTCCTGCGGACTGCTTTTCTTGAGAGAATCGCGATGGGCTGGCTGCTTTGCTTTTGTTTCGCTTACGCCGTGGGAGCCGGAACGGCGGGGGCAGGACTCAGAGTGCTGGCAAGATAACGGATGCCAGGCAATGCTGGGCGCCGGCCTTAGGCCCCGCGTTGCGCAATCCTGACCGACGCTCTTAACGCGTGCATTTAACCAAATGTTAAGACGGAGGATCGCAATGCCAGACACAGAACAGGCCCAGCTTTCAGGACCAAGCTGGTCCAAACTGCAGGTGTCCCTTGCCTAGATCAGGTCTTGGCAAAGCGTGGTGGGGACAGGGGCCGGTCCCCGCAGAGGTTCCCGAGGAAGGGAATGGGTACAGAAAGGGAGAGGGCTGTTTAGAAACGCTCATAGTCATCACCCGGCTGCGGGAATCGCAGAACAAGTGGAGGGATACGGGTGGGGTGTATTCACACTCAGACGGTTGTTGTCGCTCCTGGCTCAGGGGTGTTAGTCCCGCACAGCAGGTGCGAGTAGGTTCAAAAGGGATGAGATGGGGGGAGACCTGGTCCTTCCAGGTGGACAGTGCTGGGCTGGCGGCAGCCTCCTGCCGTTTCACTTCCCTGCTTTCCCTCGGTGCCTTTCATGCCTGCAGCAGTCCCAGTGGTCCTGCCACAAAGCAAATGGGATCTAGTCACTCCCCTCCTGAAGAGTCCCTCCTTTGGGCACTGCCTCCCTTTCCTGCCACTCAGCCTGTGCTCTCTGCCACCCTGGCTCCCTCTGCACCACCGCTGATGCACCGGGCTTCTCCTTTCAGAAGACCCTTGATAGATGGCCCACCAGCACTGACCATCAGTTTAAGATTACGGTGGTAGCAGAGTCTTCTAATTATTTCCCCAAATCTGTTTCTCCTTTTTCCCCCTTAGTACTAACCCTCCAATTTCTTGCTGCTCAAAAACCAAAACCAAACAAACAAAAAAACACCACTAAAAACTAAAATTTCAAGTCTTGCTTGTAGCTAGATGTGATCATGCCAATAAGCTCTAGTCAGTGGGAAGTAAGTAAAACTAGAGAATACATAACATCCAGAAGTGTCCTTAGAGGAAGGGACATGCAACTCTTTGCCTCTTTCCTTATTCTGCTGGCTTGAATAAAGGGATGAAGACACGATGGCTGGAGCTTCAGCAGCCTTATGGACCATGAAGTGAATATAATTTGCTGAGGATGGTAGAGCAACAAGATAAACAGAGCCTGAGCCCCGGGTAATCAGTTACCATAACTGCCATCCACTGCTTACCCCCCACTTAAGTAAGAGGGAAATAAACATCTATTTTGGATTTCCTGTCACTCAGCACAACCTAATATGAACCGATCCAGTATTGTCTGGGGGAAGTAAAGGATGAGAATGGGCAAAGCATGAGGCAACATGATATGAAAAATTAACAGCATATGTTGGATGATTTGTGAACGCAAATAATTCAGAAGCAATGAGAAGTCCACAGAAGAAACAGAAGTAACCTTTCTTTTCCCACCCTGATCCCTGCAAAAATCCCCAGATATAAAGTAAGGACCATTGCATCTCTCACTACAAGTGGGAGGCTCTCACCATTTTAATTGGAATCTCAGAGTAAAGGGTGATGTATCTCCTTTGTCCCTTTAAAATAAACAGAGAGCTCT